ATCCTCCCCTTTGGTCCAGATAGGTATGTTTAGTGCTTGTGTTGGAAGTGGAAAAGCCAATCCTGTTACCAGGATGGTCTCTAGTGCCGCTTGGTTCACTCTAACTGGTTATGTATGTTTGAATGAAGGAAAAGGAGTAGCACTTGCTCACAAGGGGTCTTCCAAAAGGACATGGAGTCAGGAGTAGGAAAGATTGCTGATCAGATATTAAAGACCCAAGCAGATGTCTGTAAATGCCCCACATGAGACATGCATGACTGTCTGTCTTCATCTAGCTTGAACACATCTTCTAGTATTCAGAGGTTATGAGCAACAGGTATGAGCAGGTCTGTTTCTGTGCATCACCTTTCTCCTCAGATGTTTGAAAATTCCCATAAAATTAATCCTATGTTGTAAACTACTGATACGGGGACAGTGCAGGTGATGGAACTGGCTGCTCTTTCTGGAGGGCAGGTTCTCAATAAGGTTAAAGCTTTCCCAACAGGCTTGAAAACAAGCATGCAGAAGCTGCACATGAAAGAAAGCTCCACCAGTGATGTAGAGCCCTGAATGTTTTGGAGGAGCAAACTGTATCCCAAAGGCACCTGCCCAGCCACCTACTTTTAAACTTTTATGGTGAGAGGTTATCACCAACATTTAAAAACCCAGCAATTTACAACCAAGAAGGATCTGGACCCACAGAGTTGATGAACTGTTTCAACCATGAACTGAACTGACACTGGCCAGGAACTTGTAAGTTGATGAATGTTATCTGAGGTACAATAGTGAACTGCTGTTTTGCAACTTAGTTTTATACCCGATAGGTAAGAGGTTAGATGGAAGTTATATGCAGAGATGGAGAAAGATCTTCTGCTGGCTACTCAACTTCAAAAACACGTATGTTTGCATCAATGAAAAAAAAATTAATTTTTCTCAGTTGTACCAAATGGTTTTAGTTATTACAAACAAAAAGCAAAAACCAGGTACTTTAGCATTGATTTCTCATGTTTATCTTTAACTTATGTTTCACTGTACAACTTGCCTCAGCTTCATTAGAAAAGAAAATACCAAAAATACCAAATTACTATACTCTGGGACAACTCTGTCAGCCTTCAGTGGCATAGAGAACTCCAACACTAGGTGGAAAAGTGTGATTTTAGCATGCTGTTTATAGACCCAGTACTACCATGTGGGGTCAGCAGTGTTTCTGTCCATCTGCTCTGTGTATGCATTTCTTTCATGGATTCCCATGCACCTTTATAGCGTTTTTTCAGTAAATGTTGCTGGATTGCTGATGATAAGAAGTGTCATGAGGCTGTGGTCCTACTATGGAAAGAAGAAGAGAAGGCTGAGGCATTGAGCTGTTGTATAAGCTTGGGTGAGCAAAGTGTATGATAGGTGACACACTTTTCTCACGCTCATGCAAACCCACTTTTGAAATGCAAACCTCATCTCAACCTTTCATAATCATTAATCACCTACCGTTGACTCCATAGGGTGCAAACTTGTCATCACCTGAAACATGAGGCAAGTCAAAAGGGCAGATGTATCATTAGAAAGCATTGCCAAGTGGTGTGTTTGCGTAGGTGGAGCAGAGCTACAAAAAACTTGCGAGCCACCCCTGGACTCTCTCGTGCATGGGTTCCTGTCCTGTCTGTCACAACACGCTGGTGGCAGTGCTGCTGCCCTTCTTGTGCTGCCTGAGTCCTGCCACGGCTGGGAATCTGCTGGTGATCCCAATCGAGGGCAGGCACTGGCTCAGTATGAAGGAAGCCCTAGCTGAGATGAGCAAGAGAAGCCATGAAATAGTTGTTATTGCACCAGACAGCCAAATGCTGATAGATTCCTCCATGATACATGAACTGAAAACATATCCTGTAGCTTTTAAAAAGGAAGAGATGGAAGAATTTATGCGCTTATTTAGTGCAAACTCGTTTAGCGAGCAGCCTTTCCTGATCAGATTTTGAATACCTGGGATCATTTCAGAAAGACCTTTGCTATGTTTCAAGCTTCCTGCAGTTCCTTACTGCACAACAAAGAGATGATGAAATACATCAGAGAAAGTAAACGTGATGCCATCTTTACAGATCCTCTGACACCCTGTGGACAGATAATTGCTTTGTACTTTTCTATCCCTACTATTTTCTTCTTGCAGGGTGCCCCGTGTGCTATAGACATTCACGCTGCTTAGGGTCCGGACCCACCATCCTATGTCCTACCAACGCTCTCACTCAATATAGATCATGTGACATTTCCTTAGAGAGTAAAGAACTTCCTGATCAGCTTTTCAGAGTCTTTCACCTGCAGTATGGTCCTTTCATCATTTGAAAGCCTGGCCTCAGACTTTCTCCAAAAGCCAATGATGGTTACACAGCTTTTAAGTCACAGATCCATTTGGCTGAAGAGAGTTGACTTTGACTATCCCATGCCTGTAATGCCCAATATGATTTTCACTGGAGGCATAAACTGTGGACAGAAGAAACCATTATGTCAGGCCAGTGACTGGCTGGAGAAAGGTATAATAAAGGAAAAGTTCTGGCAGTCACACACCTGCACAATCTGGGTGAGGTCTAATATGTGTTTGATATGGACATTTCTTTCTAAAGAGGTAATTTAGATTAACACTTTCTGTATAGCCAATCCACATGAAAAACTGAGTGGTAGAGTAGATCAGGAGAACAAGATGTGATTTCACCTCTTTTCCTTGGGTCTGCCCAACATGGGGATTTTGTTTGGTGAAAGGATCACATGCTATGTTGTGTTTAATTCCAGCTGCAGTCAGGTATGCAAACACCACCTCATCCAGAAATTAATGCAAAAAGGGCAGGTGAATTATAACAGCTCTTCCAAAAATTCTGTGTCCCACATACATAAGAGGTAGTAGAATATTTCTTCAAGAGCATTAGCTGCTCATCCAATCAGAAAAGTAACTCACTGGGTTACGTGCAATAGCATCACGTGATCTTTTCTGTAGCAGCAGTCTTGTGTTTGAGTTGAAGGCTAATATTTTGCGGTGAAGATTTTGGTTTAACAGCAGCTTCCATCACAAAAACTAGACAGCTGAATTCTCAGCTGCATTTTTAGGAGACATCCAGTTTGGACAGGGAAGTGTGGATGGATGGTTGCTTGGGCATCTGTGGTTTAAAAGGTACTTGAGAAAGGCGTGCCTGTGATGTATGTTAGCTCGTTGCTGCATGTGGTGTATATTCTTGCTTGCTTGTGCTGTGAGTAGAACAGTCTCATGTGATGCCAGAGATCAAGTGGAAAAGGAGAAATAGCAGGAGGCAGCTTCTCCTCTGCAGATGATGAATCTGTAGTTAGTGTCATCCAGCCATTTCAGCAATAAATCACATTGTTTCCCAGAAAGGATAAAGTTTTATCCTTACTGAACGTTACTTAAAAATAAAGAGACTTGACTCTATTCTTCCCTGGAACTTTTTTTTCACTTGCCAGCCTTCCCTGAGTCTTAGAGAATGGATTCTTCCTGCCTATCACCACTCTTACTCTTCCCCCAAATTCATAGGCCTTTGTGAACACGAATGAGTGAAGCTTCACAAGAAAATAGATTTGCATTTTACAAGCCTGGCACATCTTCCCCAGAGGCAACCTTAACTGCCCTCAGGCTTTGCTTGACTCCTTCCGGTGCTTCACCTGACATTGCCCATTGAAAATACTGTTTATTTCTGTTGAGCTGCTAGTGTTCCTATCTTGCATTTTCACAAAAATCTCTTTCAAATTGCCTGTCAACCCCCCACATGACCACTTTTATCAGGGTAATGCTTTTTCTATCTGTTCTGTCCATCACAGCTGCTTAATGGCTCCTCAGGGACAAATCCAGGCAGATCCTCTGGGAAAGCAGCATCCTGCTTGCTGGTGAGGCCATGTGGCAGCTCAAGGTTAAAATCAGTCTTTCCTCTGAAGACAGAGCTCACTCTCACTTTCATCTTGCTCAGGGGCCAGAGAACATAGTCCAGCAGCAATATTTATTTCAGAGGTACTCATTCTTGAGTCCTGATTTCTTCTTGTCTTACGACTATGCCTCTGAATCACACTGTTGAATCTAACAGCAAAATATAATCCTGCAGGTTGACAAGTTTATCACAAGTACTCAGACATGGTATCTGACTTCTACTTTTTCAGCTGAAGTAATAACACCACCTCTTACCATTTAAAGTCAATTCCTCGCCTGAAAAAAGAGGGCTATAACTGGCTACTTCTGTCCAGGCTTTCCTGTGTTTCATTAGGTATGAGGCAAACTGAGTGGCTTTTCCTTCCTGTTGCTCCTGGAAGAAGGAAATGATCGAGAGAGGCACAGAGAGACAGGTCAGGATGAGAACAAAGAAGTCTTGTGCATGACAGCATGGATTCAGTGATTTTCCTTCACTCATGCAAACCTCTGCTGCAGTGTTGCTTATTGTAGTAAATTTGTACTTGATGTTGTACCTGGGCCCAGTGCTGAGCTCTATGTAAATCACAGAGACTCCTCCTTAGGATTTGCACAGATATTGTGCAGATATTGTGTAGTGGTATACTTTTATAATTTTAAACATAAACTCCACAAGCATTTCAGAACAGCTGTAAAATACTTAGCAAAAAGAAAGAAAAGACAGAAAGCAAAAAAGCATTTTAGCGCCTGCTTTCAGCAAGCCCAGTTACTTCCAAGTGCCAGCACTTACTCAAAAACTGGGATTTTATTTTGGCAAAGTCTGATTTTATTTTCAATTTAACATCAATCAGCACAGGCAATCAATCAGAAAGGACCCATCCCAAGGGAGCATCAGATACCAAGCCCTGTTCTGCCCAACCCAAGTTGATTTATCACGTTCCTGAAATGATTCATCAATGCCTTGAATGGTTACTAGTGACTGGTTTTGCTGGAAAAGCCAGATCGTTAAGAGGGAATGTGAGAATCTGGCAGGAGGCTGTGAGTCTACTTAAAATCTGTTAGGTCAGGGCAGATGAACAGACTTTGGATTTCTAGGAACATGGCTCATGTAAGTAAATACAGTTACTTGGTTTCTGCGGGGGTTTTGGTTTTCCTGTCTCTGTTTTGCTTGGCTGATGGTGGAAAGCTGTTGGTGGTGCCAATGGATGGGAGTCACTGGCTCAGCATGCGCTCAGTGCTGGTGGCCCTCAGCCAGAAAGAGCATGAAATTGTTGTCGTCGCACCAGAAGTAAACTTGAATGTGAAGGCATCTGAATATTACACTCTCAAAACATATCCAGTGCCTTTAACGACGGAAGAACTGGGAGCAAGCATGCATTCATTTGCAAATGATCTTTTTGAGAGAAGACCTTTTCTTCAAAGAATTACTGCGCTTTATGAAAAAGTTCAAGTCATCTCTAGCCTCTACGTCTCTTCCTGTACCAGTTTACTGCACAATAAGGACCTGATGCAATACCTTGAAGGGAGTAAATTTGATGCTGTTCTCACAGATCCTGTTGTACCATGTGGACAAATACTGGCTCTGCATCTCTCTGTCCCATCTGTTTTCTTTTTACGGGGACTCCCCTGCAGTTTTGATTTGCAGGCTACCCAGTGTCCAGACCCCCCTTCATACGTCCCAAGAACATTTACAGACAACTCGGACCATATGACGTTTGTCCAGCGCGTGGAAAACTTATTTCTGAAATCAGCAGAATCCTTTCTTTGCAATTTTGCCTATTTGCCATTTGAACTTCTGGCCTCAGATATTCTCCACAGACCAGTATCAATGAAGGAGCTCTTAAGCCATGGATCCATTTGGCTTAAAAGAATGGATTTTGTTTTCGAGTATCCCATGCCAGTGATGCCTAACATAGTTTTCATTGGAGGCATAAACTGCGGAAGGAAAAAGCCATTATCTCAGGTCAGTGATCTCCTTGATAAAGTATGTTCAGGTGTGAAGGGAAAAGGCTGTTTGCAAATGCTGTCTGTGTATATATTTGTATACATGAGTTTGTGTAATTTACATGTGCCGCAAGGTATACTGTAAAGACAAAGAAAATAGGTGAAAAACTGGGTTGTTTTTAATTCTCTCCCACTCTTGCAGGTACTCTTCTATAGTGTTAGCAGGATCTAAGCATTTTTGCTTACACAATTGTTTTCTTTGGGCTAGGTGGAAGTAGTTTATCACTGCGCTCTTGCTAACGAGGCACACACCCATTTAGTGAGGGTGATCCCCATCTTAGCAGGCAGGCCTGCTGCCTATGTTTGCCAGATTGGTATTATTACCTGAAACTATTTGTTTGACTGTCACAATTGATTTTTAAAAACAATGAATCATTTCGGTTAATAGAACCATCCTTTCGTAATTTAGAAATGAAGTGGCATAACGCGTCAGTCGGCAGGTAATGTTCTGGTTGCTTTGTCAGTCTGGGCTTATCCTTTCACCTCAAGGATTCCTTATGCAATTTTCTGCAAAATTGCTGGAGGTTTTCTTAGCTACTAGCCAGCCCTGAGCCATCTGCAACAACTTACACTGCCTTCTGAAAAGCTTCCCTACAAAGGGTGTACCTAGAGACATGGTAGTTCGGTAAATATCCTTAAAAAAATTCAGGTACATACTATCAACCTCCATAGCAAATGACTGTATGGTCAAAATTATTTGTGCAATAATTTTCATAATTAGGGATGATTGTCTGCAAATCCTATCTATGCATTAGTGGTGTTTGCTTTCATGGCCCAGGGGCATGCTCTCCCCAGCCTGATCCAGAATGGTATTTCTGAGTTGCTAATCCAGTTTTAAATATATCTGGCAAAAACCATGCCCTTGTGCTTCCTCCTTCAAGCCTCTACTTCATCCTTCCAAAAAGAGGCCTTTCAGGGAAATGAACTTTGATAGCAAATTTTCCATTTTCATTACAGTGTCAAGATAGCAGAATGGTAAAGAAACCAGACCATTTCCCATGTGAAGCATTAATATTTTTCTAATCTTTTACAAATAGAAAATTATTTGGACTGGCAGGAGGGGAGGAATTTTCTTATACTGAAAAGTCTTGTTTGGAAAATTAATGATCTGTTAATAGGCACTTTTGAGCAGACCACTTGTTGAAGGATCCCTCCTTTCCTTAAATCCCAGCATTCCTCCAATGCAGAAGGGGTTGTTTCCCAGTCTAGCTGCTGCTCTGATTACTGTCTGCCAAATTGGTTGAACTTTAACACCTCTTATTCTATCTTTGTCCATGATTATACATTTACCGCACAGCAAATAAGTCTAAAGATCATCTGGAGAGCTACAGCACAGAATGCTTAAAAGCATAGAGCTGGGGATATTCTTTCCAGGCAGCACTCACCAGATTTCTGCAGAAATGGCCCCGGTGATTAGTGCTCATCCGCAAGTCACAGCAACACTGGTTCTGCTCCTGTCCGTGCTCAGTTCGGCTGCTGGTGGTAAGCTGCTGGTGGTGCCGGTGGATGGGAGTCGTTGGCTCAGCATGCGGGACGTGTTGGATGGTCTCAGGCAGAAGGGACATGAAATAGTCGTCGTTGCACCTGAAATCAGTTTGTACATAAAGCCAACAAAGAATTTTGTAATGAAAATGTACCCAGTCCCTTTCACGCAGGAAGAGCTGGATGTAAATTTCCAAGCATTTTCACAGGATGTATTCAAAGAAGGATCTTTTCTGGAAAGAGTTATTAGAATTTATCAACGGTTAAAAAAAGGATCTTCCATGTTCCTGTCTTCCTGTGCGCACTTACTGTACAACAAAGAGCTTGTCAGATATCTTGAGGAGAGCAAGTTTGATGCTGTCCTTACAGACCCCGTACTACCCTGTGGGCAGATACTGGCTGAGCATCTTTCAGTCCCTTCCATATTTCTCTTGCAGCAAATACCATGTGGTTTAGAATTTGAAGCCACTCAGTGTCCCAATCCTCCTTCTTATGTCCCCAGGATATTTACAGAGCATACAGACCGCATGAACTTTTTCCAGCGGGTGAAGAATCTAATCTTTGACATCCCATGTTATTTTCTCTGTGAGTTTCTTTTTCAACCATATGCAAAACTGGCTTCTGAGTTCCTTCAGCGGGATGTGACTGTGTTAGATCTCTTACGCAAGGCCTCCATTTGGCTTCTGCGATTAGACTTCGTGTTCCAGTATCCCAGACCATTGATGCCCAACATGGTCATAATTGGAGGAGTAAACTGCGCTCACAGGAAGCTTACTCAGGTGAGTCATGCCTGATTTTTGTTCTCAAGCTCCTGTGTTCACTAGAGAACTTTGTATCACAGATTTTCTTAGAAAGGTCTCTTTAACTGAGTGATAGTAAACTACTTCAGACTACTTTTCCTTTGCCAAGAGGTGCCAGTACTCATTTCAGTGAAGATATCTTGAGTATCACAGTATAAAAATGGAAGTGGTGTTTTGAATGAGCATAGCTCTGCTTGAAGTCCACATAGATTTGTGGAGGATCTGAATGTGATCACTTTGCTCAGAAACCTCCCCACAAACACCTCCTGCCACCAACTGATGAATACAACTTCTTTGCTAGAGCTAGGATAAAGAGAAGATTGTGGGAAGGGCATAAGATGTTTTGATATCCATGAGAGCACTGTTTATAGTCACCTATGAAACCCTGAGTTTGCTCTTTCACATTTGTCTTTACTTAGAAGATGACTCTGTGCTTGTGGATCTTCTCTCATTGTTCACGGGTAGGAGAACAACCTGTTTCCTATGACAGGTTCATCTCTTGACTTGCTGCAGCAGCAAGAGTCCATGGCAACATTTTGTTTGCTTTGTGAACCTTCTTCTCTCATTGATCTTATAGACACTGCTTCTCATACTGTGTTTCTGCTGTGTGTGAAATGTCCATAGACATAAAGCTGGTTTCTGGGATCTAAGATGCAAGTTTTGATGTGACTGTGCCAGATCTCTTACACCAGGCTTCCATTTGGCTCATGAAGCTAGTCTTTGTTTTACACTATCCCAGACCATTGATGCCCAACATGATTATGGTTAGTGGAGTAAACTGTGTTCACAAGAAGCTAGCTGAGGTGGGTCGTACTCTGTTTTTTCTTGTCATTCTTGCAGGCTTTTACATACTCTAAAAAGTTGTAACATGGATTTTGTTAGAAATGTTTCTTTCTGTGGGTAAAAGCATTTCAAACTACTTTTCCTTTGCAAAGAGGTGCCAGGACTCCTTTCCATGAAGGTATCTGAATATCACAGTATAAAAATGGTGAAAGTGTTGTAAATTAATTTAGCTCTGGGAAATTCCCCATTGGTTATGTGTCTCTGCTCAAAGCCAGCTTTGATATTTTTGCAGGTTGTTCAGGGTCTCTTTCACAGAATCATTAAGGTTGGAAAGGAACTTCAAGATCATCAAGTCCAACCGTTAACCCAACACCACCATGCCCCCTAAACCATGTCCTGAAGCACCACATCCACGTGTTTTTTGAACACTTCCAGTGATGGTGATTCCACCACGTCCCTGGGCAGCCTGTTCCAATGCTTGACCACGACCAAAGCTTGACCACCTTTGCTCAGGACTGTTGATGTGGTGCAAGGCAGATTTTCATTTGAGGAGAACTTTGCTCATCCTGTGGTCCACTTATCATTACTGATTTCCTCTACGATCCTGTCGTTTCTTTAAAGAAGGATTCGCTATGTTTTGAATTGTCATAGACTCATAAAATACTTAGGTTGGAAGGTCATTTGCAGGCCTCTCGGCCAACCTCCTAGTCAAAGCAGGTCCTGTCAGTTCAGGTTGTTCCATTCTATGTCTTGCCAAGTTTTGAGTATCTCCTGTGACACTTATAGTGAAAACATTTTATTATATCCAATTTATTATTATATCCAATTAGAATTTTCCATGTTGCAGCTTTTGTCTGTTGCCTCATGTCCTATCACTGTCACTCTCTCGGAAGAGTACAGCTTTGTCTTTATGCCCATCTGTTAAGGTAGTTAAAGATCTCCTGTTAGCCTTCTCTTCTGAATCTTGAGCATAATCATCTTTCTCAGCCCCTTTTTGTGCATCATGCTCCCCAGCTCCTAACTATCTACTTGGCTTTTGCTGTATTTGTTCCAGCACATCAATGTCTGTTTTGTACTGGAGAGTCCAAAACTGGACAGGTACCCACATGTCTTCAGATGTTTCCCAAGTGCTGAACAGAGGAGAAGGATCTGCTCTCTCCATCTGCTGGCTACATTCTTACTCGCACAGCCCAGGATGCTCTTGCCTCTGTGGCTGCAAGGGCACACTGTTGACTCATATTCAGTGTTGACTCATTGACTTTTTGTCCACAAGGACCTTGGGTCATTTTCTGCAGAGCTGCTGTCTGTCCAGCTGGAGTGCAGCCTGCCCTGTGGCATGGAGTTATCCCACCCCAGCAGCAGAACTTTGCTTTTGCCTTTGCTGACCTTCATGATGCTCCTGTTGGCCCATTTCTCCATTGTGGCATTCTTTTTGCATATCCCAGGCCAGTGATGCTCCTTATTTAAAGTATCAACTGGCATCATAAAAATAAAGTGTAAGTTAGGTTACTTAATTCTTATAAAATGAATGTTGGATTCTTTAAATGTGTATTCAAATATACTTTGTGGTTTGCAGAATAACATCATGGCTTCTATTTTCAGTAATGACTGTTAAGTAAGTTTTTCAGATGCTCACTTTGCAAAACAGTGAAATAGGGCTTATTTTTCAGAAAAAGCTGAATCTCACACAGTAAAAATGAAGCATTTTAAAGAGGATTCAAACTTGGCACTCAGTCTAGAAAAGCAGAGGTGGAATAAACTGTATAGTTAAACCTATGAAAAGAAGTACGACAGAGGATCCGTGACAGAGGTCTATAAAATCCTGAGAAGTGTAGCAAAAGTGAAAGGGGAACTGATACGCAGTTTCTCCCAATACTTGACCTATGACTAACACTGAAATGAGGTGGCAGCAAGCTCAAAGCAAACAAAAGGGAGTACTTTTTCACACCATGCACAAAAAAAATAAATCTGCCTCTCAACACCAGCAGATCTTTATTTTTTTTGTAGACAAAACCTATGATTTTAAAAAGGATTTTAGTGGTTAATAAGAGGTATATTCTGACTGCCAGGATTTGTAGTTTTACAAAAGAGGTAATAATGGATTCTC